TCAGATTTTCAACTGCAAGTAAGACGTTAAGCATACAACTAGTAAAATGCCCAATGGTTATAAATGGAATTAGAATTTAGAAATAGCTTTAGAACCCATCATTGTCTAGTTTTTGATGAGTTTTTGCTAAATGTAGGTTAAGTTGTAAGCAAGAATATTGATAGCTTTACTAAATAATGCTCCTTTGTTGTTTTTCCTAAAGGGTAAGCCAATAAAGCCATCAGGCAAGGATGGTGAAAAAACGAAGGATAAAAAGGTAAGAGGGAATTTCTATAAATTGTATGTTGTCTGGGCTGGATTAAGCTATGCCATAATGTATGACCAATTTTAGTCCTCATACTTAGCATAATGTAAAACCCGAATTTCATAAATGTTTTGTGTATTTTCCTAATTTTGAGCATCTTCATAATCTGAGCCCTTATGTAATAGTTTATGCATAAAGGCAACATAGTGACTGCATGTGGACATCCCTGCTTGGCTGTAGGATCACATCTGATTCATATGTTGCATGTATGCATTAAAGGAATGTTTACTCTTTAGCTAAAATGCTCCCAGAACAGCTTATATAACAGCAGTAACAGACAAGAAACTTCTTGCCTGCAACCTAACAATCTAAAATGTGTGACACGCAAATGGAGGAAATGAAGGAAACATATACATGTGTTCTTAAAGTTTTTTTTAATCATATTCTGGCAGGTTTGAGTGAAAACCCAATGGGGCTTTGTCATTTGACAGTGTTGCTTGAGTAAATCAAGTTTTAGTCCCCAAATATGATAAACCCATCAAAACCCAATAGAGTTTCTTAGGGCCCTTCCACACAGCCATATAACCCAGAATAGCAAGGCAGAAAATCTCACAATATCTGCATTGAACTGAGTTATCCGAGTCCACATTGCCATATATTCCAGTTCAAAGCAGAAAATGTGGGATTTTATTCAGCTGTGTGGAAGGGGCATAAATCACTGCTTACATTCCATTATTTTCAATGAATCTTCTATCATTACGAATACCATTAAATTTAATCCACTGGTTTTAACTTGGAAATGGGAGGCTTTTTCTTCACAGAATATTTTACAAATGCTGTAAAACTTTAGATAATATTTTAAAGCATTCTTTTTATTGCAGAAGCCATCTGACGATTCAGCAGCTATTGATGCCCTTTCAGGGGATTTTGATAATTGTGGGAAACCACCAGTCTCACAACAGCCTTCACCAAAGGTGGGGCCTCTTTCTTAGATTGGGAGAAGTCATTCTTCAGTTAAAAGTTGGGGGTTTTGTGATGCTCTTGGAATTTATATGGAAAGTGTAGCCAAAGATACAGATTGCAGAACAGGCTTGAACATGCTTTTAGAGTTACAATAGGATTAAATTAGGCAACTTCCAAGTGAGATATGTTTTATTTATGGTTGATCAATGAACCAAACATTGATTGTGCTATTCTGAAAAAGTAGCGCCTGTTAGGCTGAGTGAATATTTTATTCAAAAAATACATAAATCACATGGTGTTAAAGATGCCAGGGTTCCCTTGGCAGAGATAGGATTGTTGTTGTTGTGTGCTTTCAAGTTGTTTCAGACTTAGGTTGACCCTGAGCAAATGACCTTGGAGGGCCGTATCCCACCCCCGGGCCTTAGTTTGAGGACCCCTGCCCCTGGTCTAGAGCTATCCCTTGGTATCAAGATCTTAGGCTGTTTATGCCAGCATTGTCATCAGTATCTTAATTCACCAGTCTACATAGATTGGGCGCCTAAAATATGGAAATTGTATTTCTGCCTTAGAAAAGTGTGCACAAAAAAAGATGTGTACAACCTAGGTATCCTGAACAGGCGGCTGAATCATTAGTATTATTAAACTTTTTAAATAGTGATTTATAAATAAAACGTGTCCTGCAAATATAATGTCAATGGAATGTGTAGCAAATATGAAGTTCCCTTTTCTATAATTTATACTTCTTTGCTATATATATACCAATAAAGGCTTATTGGATTGGATTGGAAATTTAATGTTTCCTACCTTGATGAGGGAAACATATCAATTTCTCCGGTCTGTATCAATTGTTCAGTCTAGAGCTCCATCTGCCTCTTGTAGACTGTATTTTTTACAGTTTTTGTCATTATATAATTCTGCATGAAGCTTCTTTCATTTTAGGCAGGTTGGCGTTTGGTTGCTTCTGCAGAAAGCTTTAGAAAATTAACATAATTGCATCTCAAACCAATATTTTCTTTCTAGCCAGAAACAAATTCAGTACAGTTTCCGCATTTTCTCCCACTGGTAGCCTTATACTAGTAGGAACTGCAAAACAGTATATATACATGCTTTTACAGATTCAATGTGGTTGGCAATGCAAACCGTACAGCTGCTCTAGAAAAGGGGGGATTTGTGTAGAAAACAAAACACAGAGTTGCCCCACATCACTTTTCCCATTAGTTAGATTTTCTAACTAATGGGCAGTTATGTAACAGTGGAAGAATATACAATAAATGTGCCTTTACCACAGCAATGCAACTATTGTTTACTTTTATTTCTTAGTTGTAAATCTAAATTTTATTAGGCTCCTTAATTTCTTCAGTGTGAATTGTGTTCAGTTATGGCAAAGAAGCTTGTCTCCTCATTTGACAAGAACATTTCTTTGATCTTAACTGTTCTTGGCATACACCTCATGCATGTATTCCTAACAGTCAGCTCTGTTACATTTGAAAAACCTCTCACAATAAAGCTGTCTGAATCATGGACTTGTTTCTAGAACCATCTCTTTGATCACTTGAATGCTGAGATGGAGCCCCCGGTGGCGCAGTGGGTTAAAGCACTGAGCTGCTGAACTTGTTGATCGAAAGGTCGCAGGTTCAATTCCGGGGAGCGGTGTGAGCTTCCGCTGTCAGCCCTAGCTTCTGCCAACCTAGCAGTTCGAAAACATGCAAATGTGAGTAGATCAATAGGTACCGCTCCGGCGGGAAGGTAACGGCGCTCCATGCAGTCATGCCGGCCACATGACCTTGGAGGAGTCTACGGACAACGCTGGCTCTTCGGCTTAGAAATGGAGATGAGCACCACACCCCAGAGTCAGACATGACTGGACTTAATGTCAGGGGACTACCTTTACCTTTACCTTTTTATGCTGAGATGTCTGTTGTTTGAAGGAGTGTTTGTACTTGTCTCTCCAACACACTATAAAATGGGCTCAGTGGGTGTGTCTCTTTGTACAGCCACTGAAATAAATGGAACTTGCCAAAGAACATAGATGAACATAAAATACCTCCATTTATAAATTTAAAATTTAAGTTTGTAGTAAATGAAATGTTGATAGCATGAATAGCCATTCTTGGATGTCCAGAGGTGCAATCTACAATCCTTGAGTTATATCACCTTGTGCTACATAGTTCCACTGGCAAGAGCCACAAGACTTTTTTTGTTCTGTTGAATTCATTGATTCCTTCTCTGCCTCCCCCGCCCCCCCCCCCTTAATTTTTTGAATTTTGCTTCAGAACCGGTGTGAGGTGATAAAATTTAAGAGATTGTGAGCTGCTCCTCAGCACTCTCCAGACAATGTTCTGATATGCCAATAGTATAAGCATCAGTAATCCCCAAAGTTTTCACGCTTTGTGTGGATATCAGCAAAGTATCTCTTTTCTGGAAAAAATGGTTCCCACAGCCTTAGCAACAGTTGTGTTTCAGTCTAAACATTTACAGTCAGTCGCCTTTATTTCGGTCAACAAGTAAAAGTAGAATGATGGAACACAATATTTAAGTAATCAATAACATCACATTTGGCTTATGATTAATGAAAACAAGTACCACCATTTGTTATCAGTTGAATGACTGCCTTTATAATCTAAAGCAGGAACTGATTGCCAATTAGTAATAAGTCTCCCAAGTACTCTTTGTTGCACTCTCAGCACTTGCAGGTTATTCATGAAGCATTCATCTAAACATTTACATACAAGCCTTCTCCTTTGGTTGTAGGATGAAAAAACAAAAGAGGCCCCCACATCTAAGTCAGCTAGAAAGGATGAAAAGAAATCAAAATCTGGTAAAAAGGTAAGGAATTGTTTTTATTTTATTTTATTAGAAGTATTAAATAAATTGTACAGGTTGTGGTTGGTTCAGTCACATTTAAGCTCAGTTTATTTTGGGGGTATCAAATTCCCAAGCTTAGGAGCTATTATTTTGTCCTCCTTTAAAAAAAATTGACAGTGATTCCTAAAGCTGGTGTACAGTTTGATAAATATGGAAATACCAATAGGACAGTGCAACATAGAACTCATAGATTGCTCTTCCTCGCAGAACCTCGTATGCATATCAAAGGGAGATGAATGCAGGGAGCAAAAGGTGTTTAACCTTCTTCTAGTGGAACCATATTGTTAACTGCTGTCAAGTTGACTTTGACTTATGGTGCTCTCAAGAATGAGAGATCTCCAAGACACCCTATCAACAACCCCGCTTAGGTTCCCTGATTGAGTCTGTCCTTCTGGAATGCAGTCTTCTTTTCCTACTGCCATTACTGTCTTTTCTAGTGAGTTGCGTCTTCTCACAGCAACCCATCTTCTCAAGATGTTTCCAAAATATGACAGACTCAGTTTAGTCATCTTGGATTCTAAGGAGAGTTCAGGCTTGATTTGCTCTTGCATCTTTTCTTCTTCTTTTTTAGCAGTTATCGGTAACCATATATCAGCTTGCATATTAGTACCTTTCATTCAGCGTTAATCATTTCACTGTGGAATGAAACAATCTACTGTATATACTCATGTATAAGTCTAAAAAAATTACTTGAAAATTGACTCTGAAACTGCTTTATCTACAGGTCAATGTAAGTATTGTATCTTAAAATTATCAAAATGGAGTCATCCTCCAATGGAATCATCCTTCAAGTACTGTCCTGTTGTTCCTAGGCTTGCAGCTTTAGGCAGCCTTGGCAAATATTCAGGAGTGATAGTAGTTATAAGTGAACAATATATGAAGCCACAGGTATCTACCCTTTGTTTAGATGAGAAAAATTGTTATATAGGTGAGCTTACTAGTTCAAATTGGGTTTGGAATCCAGCTTTTGATGTAATAGAAGGAATACTTCCCTTCCAAACTGTTCCCTTCTGTTAGTAATTTTTTTTTGGGGGGGGGGGGGTAAAAGACACATGCTGTTGTCACTTCCAGTGATGTATGGCTAACATGAGCAGAGGGAATTTAAGTTTAAAAACAGACACACACTTATCCAGCATCACTGTTTTGGATGTCACAACAAATGGATCAATTAAGAATAATCTATCAGAACTGTAGCCAGCTGTAGGTTTCCTATGTACCATAATGGGGCGCTGTCAAAAGCTGCACTTCTCACTCCCTTATTTTTGACAAATACACACATTTTACGCTTTTAGTAATTGGCCATCTTCTTTTTAAAATTATGTATCCAGTGTTTATTACATCAGTTGAAAATTCAAGCTAGTAATCTTGCTGTTTTATTCCTCTAAGGCAAAGGAGCAGTCTTCCAGTGCAAAATCTGAAAAACAAAAAAAGAGTTAAACAGGTAAGAAGTAGTTAAGCTGCTCACAAACATCCAAGATACTTTAATAATTGGGGGGGGGGGGGGGCTCTTCAAAAAGCCAAGTTTTTTAGGCCTACATTTTAGGACTTAAGAAAAAAGATTAACTTGCATTATTTCAGTTGATGAGATTCCTGATACTTAAGATGATTAAAAAAGAAAAAAGCCATTGTGGACCTACACTGGGGATCCTAAAAACAAGGAGTGAGGAACCTGTCATCCTTCCTGCTTTAAAACTTCTATTATTTCAACCACTGGTCATGTTGGACTGTGACTGGTGCAAACTGGAGGACCACAGGTTTCTTCTCCCTGCCTTAAGAATGAGCAGACAATGGGAGGCTCAGCATTCTTAGGGATTGTTGTTGGATAGTTCATCTGCACTTTTTCCTTTTAGTAACAGTGTGCTGATTTTTTTTCTTGTCGTGTCAGGAGTGACTTGAGAAACTGCAAGTCGCTTCTGGTGTGAGAGAATTGGCCGTCTGCAAGGACGTTGCCCAGGGGACGCCCGGATGATTTGATGTTTTATCATCCTTGTGGGAGGCTTCTCTCATGTCCCCGCATGAGGCGCTGGAGCTGATAGAGGGAGCTCATCCGCCTCTCCCCGGATTCGAACCTGCGACCTGTCGGCCTTCAGTCCTGCCGGCACAGGGGTTTAACCCACTGCAGCACCGGGGGCTCCTAGTGTGCTAATAATACCTATTCTTTTTAGGAAATCAGCCACCACTTCAGCAATCATATCATAATAAATAATAAATTATAATAAACTTCATTTATACCCCCCCCCCCCCGCCCACCATCTCCCCAGGGACTCATGGCAGCTCACAGAAGCACTACCAGTGCTGAACATAAAATAAACAATACATAAACATATATAGACTATAACAACGTAAATTTACAACAGCAAACATGCATAAAATGACATAATAAAATATTTAAAATTCGTAAAATGCAGTGGTGCTTGCGGGTAAAGCTAACAGTCTTAAATAATGTTCAAGATGTATCAAATTTATATCTGCTTTATTTGTATATTTTCAGTTATCTATGTGGAACTGTTCTCAGTTTCCCCTGATAGAAGTCTGTTCTATGTAATAAGCTCTTTTGACTACTTAAGCCTGTTTTCTCCATTTCTCTTTTCTTTTCTCCACTAGTGCAAAGAGTTTTCATGATGGTGATGGATAACTGCACTTGAACAAAAACTATTTTGCAGAAGCAAGATAGCCTCCTGAGTGGTTTTTATATCGTGGTATCTGGATATTTTGGCATGCTATGCACTTTTTTGCTATTTTTGAGAATTAACTAACTTTTTCTAGTCATTTATTTTCTTGTCCTTATTTTGTAATTTTCTTCCGTTCTGAGAGGGAAAGGATGCTTTATATTTGTATGAAATGTATTTCCTATAAATTTAATAGCAATGGAAAAAGTCTGCAGAGTTTTGCACATAGTCTTCACATAGTGCCTGTAAATCTCAATGAGTTCACTAAATATGTGCTTGTGCACTTGTTCGCTATATATTTTAGTATAATTTGTGATTTAAATCAGCAGTTGGCAACTGATAGCCCTCCAGACATTGTGGAACTGCAGCTGATGGAAGTTGGTGATCCAGCACCATCTAAAAGCCTGTAGGTGTCCAACCTTGCTTTAAAGATTCTGGATTGCAATGAACTTTTGTATATCATCTGCCTATTTAGGTCAATGGGTATTCCTTTGGGAGAATGGTAAAAGGAGCACCCATTCTGCAAGACTGAAGTAGACACAGCCTAGAAGTTATACCTTCTTCCAACAATATAGTATTGAATATGAACAGTGCCATTAGTATTTTATTTTTAAAAACTTCAGTGCTTCCTGTCACCATCTTTGGTGCTACTAGCTTCCAGTAAGGATATAATAGTGCATCACAACTACCAAATAATAAAAATCGGAGGAGATGCAGGTTGGCACACTCTTCAATGGACAAAATAGTACACAAGTCCAACCACAACACATATTCAGAAGACACAGAGCAACTTTTTCCTGATATATATGTGCGGAGCAGATTTAGAGTTCATTTGGATGCGAGGCTTGCTCAAATCTCCCTGACGTATTGCTTGTTTCCTTTTGTATTTCTTGCAGTGAGAGAGGGCTTATGGCTCTAAGTACCAGATTCTGATATGCTTTGCAATCTGAGTAGCATTACCCTTCTTAACTTGTGGGGTGTGGTATTGCTCCTTGCTTGATAAAATGGTTGAACTAGCTTTCTTATCTACCATTTTGTCAGATATGCAGGCGACCAAGAATATTACCTGTGTGAGCCCTTTTCAGCTGCACTGAAGTTATCACAAGATAATGCCATTTTGTGCTATGGCTCTTGTTTTGTTTCAGAAGGAGGAAGAGTGGGAGATGTTGCCCATGGATTGCATCTTTCACTTTTAGGAAAATCAGAATTCAAGTTGTCTTTTACCATTTATAATATTAATGCAGCACTGTATTTGGCAGTCTGTATGGAAATTCTGTGTCACACTAATAAAGTTTTTGGAAAGTATTATCTTGTAATGAAATCCTGGGTTTTCATCAACACATCATTATTGTTGGAAGAGTTATGTATGAGCAATGTTAATCCTCTCTGTTAAAAAAGATACACACATTTTTTTAAATCCAGTCCCTGCTTTGTTCTCTCTTTTTCAAGGTCCAGCATCTAGCACTGTTGCATGTGCAGTTGTTTGATCAGGCCTTTACATATAGGCAAAATTGCAGTTCTTTGTCCACAATACTTGACATGAGTCCTATGGTACACATATCTCTGAGTAAATACATCTTAGAATTCAAAATATGCAATTAAAACCCCAATTCTTCATCATGATTACAACAGCTTTGCAAAAATAAATTAAAATATTAAATATTATATTAATAATGTCGCATATATATCACTTGTCTAAAATAATGAATACTGTAATCTAAGCCTAAATCACACTTGAATCTGTAATCACAAAATTAACATTGCTGAGTTTCTTTCGTCTGATTTGTTTGGGATAAAAAGTGTTTTGGATTTTTTTTTCCCCATATTTTGGAATGTGCTATCTTGGAAATGGGATCCAAGTCTTAAATACAAATTTCATTTATGTTCGATATATACATTATGCACATCACCTGAAGGTAATTTTTATGCAATACTTTTAATTCTGTGTATGCAACAAGGCTTGTATACAGTGAATCATCAGAAAGCAAAGATGTAACTATCTCAACCACCCTTGTGGACAATTCTGAAGGATTTCAGGTATCTTGATAAGGATACCCACCCTTTTTAAAGTAAGATGTGAGGAGAAAGCAAGTGCTGTCTGGTTTCAGGTGAGAATATTCTTCAACTTGGGTTGCAGCACCATGTCTACCAGGCTCCAGGGAAAGGTTTTAGGCAAATAACTTCTTCACAGATTTTGCCATCTGTGAAAATGGGGAACTAAGTAACCAACTGCCAAGACTTGAAATAATAATTAGTAATAAGGAGAATAAGCCCTATGAGGAGAGGCTTAAAGAGCTGGGCATGTTGAGCCTGAAGAAGACAAGGTTGAGAGGAGACGTGATGGCCATGTATAAATATGTGAGAGGAAGTCATAGGGAAGAGGGAGCAAGCTTATTTTATGCTGCCCTAGAAACTAGGATGTGAAATAATGGCTTCAAACTACAGGAAAAGAGATTCCACCTGAACATTAGGAAGAACTTCATAACTGTGAGAGCTGTTCAGCAGTGGAACTCTGCTGAAAGTGTGGTGGAGGCTCCTTCTTTAGAGGCTTTTAAACAGAGGCTGGATGATCAGGGGTGTTTTGAATGTGATTTTCCTGCTTTTTGGCAAAGGGTTGGATGGCCCACGAGGTCTCTTCCAACTCTATGATTCTATGATCTAACATTGAGCTTTTGAAAATATGTTGAAGTCCAGTGTGGAAACATATCTCTGCATTGTCACAAGTGCACTTCTATTTCTGCATGACCTTGTAAGCACATTTGTAAGCTCTGTACTTTTTTAATAGTTTAAAATAACAATTTTGCAATTCTAGTTATGTTTAAAATTTTTCCAATAAAACTTTAAATCCAAAATTTATAGCCCCAAAAGTAGGGAGAGTGGGAAAGGAAGAGAATCCTGTTTCCTTTATTACTTTGGAAACAGAATGACCCCATCGCTATTGGCAGCTTTTCCCATCAATAGTGAGGGCAGTTTGAATAAGGGGTGGGAGGCAGGTTGGCAACATGGTGTGGAAAGTTATGTGCAATTAGCTCATAACAAGCCACCAATAATTTCCCTAAATAAGACCTAGGTCTCATTTGGAGTGGAAATCCACAATGCTTTCAAAGTCAAATATTGGTAAAACTTGTTTTGCTTTGTCAGGGGCTTGTGCAAAAGTATTTTAAAATAGTGGCACTAATAAGCTCAACTTAAAGTGTGTCTTTAGGAGCAATTTGTGTACAGATACCTCCACTCCAAGGTGCTAAGGCAGTTACAGCGATACAATTTAGTGAAGGTTGCAAATACATAATGTCACACGGACAGAAGGTGTTAGTGCTGTTCCCTTGCCTTTGAAAATGGATTTATATGCTCAGACTTTTGTCTCTAGAGTACACTTAAATATTTCCACCCAGCAAGCCCACAAGTTTATTTTCAGAATTTTATATTAACTTATTTTGCAGGCAATATGTATCACATCTTTTTCAGAACTTACATTTCTTAATCCTGAAAGGAAGTCAAGTAGACTTTCAAACACTGCTATTGATCTGTAGCCACCTGATGATTTTTTCAAGGTTCTTATCCATCCAATTGATGTTTTCCTCAATGGTTTCTATTGTTTGTTGGACAGCACGGAGCTCTGCACTTTTTTTGTCCAGAGAGCTGAAGTATTCTTTAACCTATGGGGTTAAAACACATACTACAATTCATTATTGCATCATTATCATTAATTGTTATAGGATCTAAAAGCCAACATGGTGATGTGGTTTGAACATCAAATCCCTGCTTGGCCACAAAAAACCACTGGGAGACCTTCAGCAAGTTATGGTTTCTCAGGGCTCTTCCACACAGCCCTATATCTGAATGTGGACTCAGAGAACCCAGTTCAAAGCAGATATAGTGGGATTTTCTGCCTTGATATTCGGGGATATAGGGCTGTGTGGAAGGGCCCTCAGTCTCCAAGACAGGAAAAGAGAAACTTTTCTGAACAAAGCCAGCCAAAAATGCATATGCTCACAGAAGCATTAAAAAATACCCCATTTATGGTCTTTGATAAACTAATGCATTCCCAAACAGCCTTTTCTTTTACTTCTGATTTTTTAAAAAACATCCCAAACAGGATACTACACATAATTTATTGTTCACTTGAAGTACCAAAACTTCATTTATCTGCTCCAAGAACCTTTACGATAACCCAGTGGTAGCTTTCCAATACAGTCATCTAATTTGTGAATCATTTGTCCATCAAATTATAAATGCCTCACCCTCTGGTTTGGCTCACTTTTGCAATAGTAATGACAGGCAGCGACTGGTATATATGCTATTCTGCTTCCAAGGGGTTATCTAACTCTTATTTAATTAAATTCCCGGCCTCTCAAAATTCTAGCTCTGATTCAATAAGATAAAATCCAGGCAGTTTACTGTCAGAAATAAAGCAATCATTTATTTGAATACTTATATCCTTCCTTATATCCAAGGATCTCAGGAGACAGTGTTTAAGATCTTAATGCTTGATTTGTCTTCTACTATTGCTATTATTTTAGGCAAGCTGAACCAATTATAAAATTTTAGGGAAAAAACGAGTTAAGAATAAACCTTACGCATCTAAATCTATATTGGACCCAAATGAAAATAAAATCAGAGCAGTGTGTAACTAAAAATATGAAACATATACATACATCAGCAAGTTGAGCCTTTGTTGAATATTTATTTGTTACTCCAGTAATCATGTGTGCAATGGAATGCGAACCAAGGTCAAACCTACAAAGCAGTAATATGTACAGTAAATAAACATCTGTATGGTTTAATTTAAAAACAGGATTAGAGGTACTGGAAGAATATTAAGAGTAGGTACCTACTTTTTCACAAGTGTCTGCCAATTGTCCTTCAAAAACTTCCAGGCTAATTGATAACCTACAGGATTCCTTCCAACACTTACAACAATATAAGGAAGATCTTGAGTCTTTATAATATCACCCCGCAACCCTTGTTCCATCAACCTAATATAAAACCAAAGACACCACTTTGCTGAAATAAGGAAATAAATACGATTTCCTAACACAATATCATTTTCTAGAATCTAATGTGGATAAAAGATCTACAGTGCCAACCTATAATTTACTTGGAAATAAGTCTTAACAGCTTTTTTTGCAATTCTACAAAGTAACTGGCATTTGAAATTTTATGCAACCATCTACTGTAGTGACCTTAGAAATTATAAAGAATATGGCAACTGCCACAGGGCAAGTGGCCATTCTTAGGTTAGCCAGCTGCTTCCTGGCCATTTTATTTTAATATACAGAAAAACTAATCACATATACATAAAGCAGATTTAATAACAGGTGGAATTAAAATTATTAAATCACTATCCAATGCATCCCATGGCCTACACATGAGTGACTTATAAACCAACTACACTCACCACTGAAGCCTTTCTTTATTTTGGCTGAGGCTGAGAACAGTTTCAATCAATTGCTTTTCAGTACTGAACTCAGGTAGTTGGCATTTGCTGAAAAGGAAGTCCCAGCCCACGTCTGTCTGTGCTCCAACAGCATATACAGCAAACTTGATATCATTGGGCAACCTGCAACAAATTGGGCTTCAAATTACATTCTGATGTGCATGTTATTTTTTTAATAACCATGGATACAACTGCAAACTACTATGCCCTTAAGACATCAACACTACTGAGATTCCACCTGAACATGAGGAAGAACTTCCTGTGAGAGCTGTTCAGCAGTGGAACTCTCTGTCCCGATGTGTGGTGGAGGCTCCTTTGGAGGCTTTTAAACAGAGGCTGGATGGCCATCTGTCGGGGGTGCTTTGAATGCGATTGTCCTGCTTCTTGGCAGGGGGTTGGACTAGGTGGCCCATGAGATCTCTTCCAACTTTATGATTCTATGAATGATGAGAAGGGGATATTTGAATCATCTCCCCTTTTTCACAGTTATATCTACATCTAGAGGCAATCACTTGCAGCTGGGTATTATTTTCTGCCGAGGGTAGAGTCCTGGCAGTGGGTTCATTGTAGGTCACAGCTTTACACTACATGTTTTGTTCTGTGAAGATTAAGGATGCCATTGCAACATGCTAAAAGTGAAATACTTACTTTAGTGTTCCATTGGAATGCTTCCATTTTGTAAAGTATTGTTTTGCTTTGTCCACACATGGTTGGTACCTGCGCACACAGGCAAACATAAGAAGGGAGCTCCGAAGTATTCGCTCTGACATTGTGCCTTCATCCTCCCAAGACTGTTTGTCAATCATGTTTTTAAACAGATTGAAAATGTATCCCTAAAGTGAATTCATAAAAAAGCAAATCAGTGGAGTATCCCAAGAAGCCCCAGTGAAATTAATAACTTTGCCTAGGAAAGTGTACCATCAAAAGTCATGGTAGGTAAAGGTTTCCTCTTTACATTAAGTCTAGTTGTGTCTGACTCTGGGGGGTGGTGCTCATCTCCATTTCTAAGCCGAAGAGCCAGCGTTGTCTGTAGACACCTCCAAGGTCATGTGGCCAGCATGACTGCATGGAGCACCGTTACCTTCCTGCAGAAGCGGTAACTATTGATCTACTCACATGTACGTTTTTGAACAGATTGGCAGAAGCTGGGGCTAACAGCAGTTCACCCCGCTCCCTGGAGTCGAACTGCCAACCTTTCAGTTAGCAGATTCAGCAGCTCAGCGGTTTAACCCACTGCACCACCAAGGGACACAAAATATATGAACTAAAATCAGTTCTGCAAACAAGCATTCTTGTTTCAAGGAAGGAGGACTAATAATAAACTGAGTCACAAATGGTTTAAGTAAGCAATTGATCATATAAAGTGGTTTGTAGAAGAATCCACTTTGACTTTTAGAGTTCTAACTAAAGTTAAACACATGCAGACACAGAGGATCTCTGACTTCATTGCAGCTCAATGCCAAGATATCATTAAGTACAATAAATACCTCACAAAGGATAACACTTTACACATACATCCCAATCATAGAAAGGAGTTGTTTTTCAGAATATTAAAAAACGTCTAGCCTTACAGTTTGGTGTCTACAATAGTTATTTTCTTCCTCTATCTTGCATAAATAATAAAAGACGGGTTCTTTTATCCCACACTAGTCAGAGTACTGCTGTCATGGCCAGCTCATTCAAAAAATAAATCAATCAAGAGACAGTACCAGAAACATCAAGTGTAAAAACAGACATTGTTTCCACACAAAAAACTTCTATTTACAATAACAAAAAAACTTGTGTGAGCACAAGGAACCATCTGATCTCTTTACTGAAACTATTGATGCAGCCTGTATATGTATATAATACCTGTTTTACCATGTGTTTCATGTACTAATTAGCTGTCACTTCAGCCTGAATATTATTCTGAAACACATTTAATTTCATATTTTGTAAGCTCTTTACACAACGTGTTAGGACAAAGTTTTATTGCACCTGTCAGTTTGCTGTGATTGGAAATTTACCAGATGAACCTAACCAAGAGTAAGCTTTGTATTTACAAAGTACCCTGGGTGACAAGGATTGTATAAAAGGTTGGTAGGAAATGGCAGCTGGTGGAATGTGCCTTATGGGTTGAGTGTGGATGGAGAGATCACTGCCTTAGAGAAACAGGACTCTCGGCTGCTCTCATCTACTTCACATACCTACATTCTATTGCTTTATCACAGCTTTTTGTTGTATTAAAGTGGTGGTGCAATGGGTTAAGCCCTTGTGCTGGCAGGACTGCGGTTCGAATCCAGGGAGAGTGGGTTGAGCTCCTTCTGTCAGCTCCAGCTCGCCATGTGGGGACATGAGTGAAGCCTTCCACAAGGAAGGTAAAACATCAAACATCCAGGCGTCCCTTGGGCAACATCCTTGCAGATGGCCAATTCTCACATCAGAATTGACTTGCAGTTTCTCAAGTCACTCCAGACATGGAAAAAAACCCAACTCTTTGTCATGTGTTTATGTTACTGGACTAAAAGATTCTCAGAAACAATCAACTATTTGTAATATTTTGTTTCAATCTTTGCTGCCTCATACCCAAGAAGCCTCCTATGCCTTCTGAACATGTGCTCCCAGAATGATACAAGTTTTAAAAGGAAGTACAAATTTGCAACAAAAAAAAAGTTTACCTCTCCATCAGCTAACCCTAACTGGATTGGAATCCCATTCATGAACTGAAAAGTGCCTTTTGGTCGTGGATGGGCAATTCTGGATCTATCCCTGTGTGTCTATGTGCAATAGAGCCCAAAGATTTCTACATTCCTGTACAATTTCAATAACACCTTGAGACTAAATTTGGCTCAACAATACAATTTCTTTCCTCACATACATTTTTGTTGTATTGCTAATCACTTCCATTGGAGCCCATCTATTAAGTGGCTCTACATATTGCCTCCTCTGCATATTATATTCAAATGCTTACATCATTCCCCACAGCTTCTACAACAGATGGTTGCTACTTTTTGTTAGCTTCTGTCTCCAGAATTAAATATGTGAGCAGACAACCTGCAAGTGCCACTGCTACCTGGACTTCCTCTCCAATTTACCTTTAACTGGTGTTCTGTCTCATTCATATCCCTCTTCTCCAGCAGTTTGTACAAAGGGATAAGTTCATCCAGTCCTTGATGCACAGGGATATTTTCCGATTCATGTTTTAGGTATAATGTTAAATCAAGAGCTTTGGTAATGGACAGCTTTCCAGCACTGGAAAACAGGAAGTATTAAGCGTATAAAACGTTTTAAGTAACTGATCCATTATTATGTAACAAATTTTCTACATCCCTTTTCCCGAATTCCAAAATTCAAAATACTCCAAAATTGTCCGCACAAGTGGCTAAGACAGTGATATCACTGCCATCTGATAGTTCAATGTACATAAATGTTGTTTTGGACACAAAATTATTTTTAAAATGTTATCTTCAGGATGTTTGTAGAAGGTATATATAAAATATAAATTAACTTGATATTTTAGATATTATGTAATATATGAAAACTCAGATGTTCCAAAATACCAAAAATGCTAAAATCTAAAACACTTCTGGCCTCAAGCATTTTGGATATGGGATATGCATTCTGCATATATATCAAAAATGTATATTCAGCCAATACTTAATTTCTCAAAATATACATTACTGTAATATAGTGCCCAGTGTAGCTTTGGACAACAAACTATGTCAAGAGATGTATGTTTATTGATGTCATTCAATCAATCAATCAATTCAAAACAAATAGATTAGAATATGCAACAGGCTACAGGCTTCTTGTAGTGCCTATGCTAGACATTATGAGTACACTTTCTAAGGTAGGATGGGCAACTGCTTAGGGCCAGGGACAATCCCCTCAACTCCATTTCCCTGTGCAGTCCCTTTCACAATGGTGACTGAAATGGCATCACGCCTCTTCCTGCTCACCATTTTGAGAGGGACTGAGGAAGAAAATGCATGTATTTGTAGGTAATATAGAACTCTGGGGAGCTTGTGGCAGTGTGGTTATATTTGCATATTTTTAGAGACTCTGCTGCATAGCTTAAATGCAAAAACTGCCCCAAAAGTAAACCAAATTTTGGTTGAGATACTGATAGGGGCTTTGCAGGGTCTAGGACCTAAACATGGCACGAAGGCTGCACTTTCCCCTCCCAATTCTTGGGGAAAGCTCTCTGTCTTAATTGAGACACAACTAAGCTCAAGTATGACGCTGGTGAAAATTGAACTAGTATCTGCAAAGGGCTACCACACACAGAAACAGAAATCTTTAAAGGACAAATGCTAACCCACAGTGGGAAAAAGAAACAGTATTTTATTCTGAAATATAATGAGATCTGAAGCTCGTAACTCTTTTTCTCTATTCATCTGATTTGAGTCCCCCTTTGGAGGTTGAGAAGGATGAGATACAAATGCTCGAAGTAAATAAATAAATAGTTCTTCCACTATTTGTGGAGTTATGTTTCTGGAAAAGCTATGGTTTCCATTATTTATTTCTTACATTATAAAACCATGTTTCTTGTTGGGCTGTCCTACACAACAATTAAGTTTGCAATCTTTAAGAAAGAATCATATAGTTGTGCTCATAATCTCTCACCTCACCAGTTGGAATGCGCTGTTGATGAGGCTGGCCCTATCATTACTGCTCAGAATTTTATGGTTTTCTTTTAGAAGACGAATCAGAGCATCCCATCCATCTTCACCATAGTGCACAATATAATAACCATTCATTCCTACATTAAATTTTATCCATTTCACTTCTTCTGGGAGGGTGATAACATCTATAAATAAAATATATTATGGTCAGTAGCATGTCAATAAGTTTTTCTATACTAGCAAAAAAAAAAAGAAACACAAATAAAAACAAACCCACCCAACCACTTAATTGACTAGCATCATGGTCTACATCTGTCTACAAATGTCAGTCTCAACTTCTGGCATCATTGTGATCTTAGAGCAGACCTCATCAACCTGCAGCCCTCCAGGTGTTTGGACCACCAGCTTGTTCAATGGTCAGGAATTCTGGGAGCTGAAATCCAAAACACTGGAGGTCACAGGTTGAAGAGGCCTGCCTTAGAGTCTTCTATTAAATAGCTGTGACTAGGAAATCAATTTTGTTTTCAATAGCTGAAGAAAAGGACACTACAGCTCTGGACCTTTTCTACTTCTTAAAATATTTGATAATAACACTGTTATGCACTTACAATATGAATTAGATTGCACACACCTGTTCTTGTTGTCAGCAAAAACCTTTGAACAACATCTGATTTACTGGTAATATATGTTAACGGAATATGCCACAGATTCCTAAAACAAAAGATGAGTCAACATTATTAATTTAAATGGTTACTGCAAATGTCATAGATGGTTACTGAGAAACAAAAAATCAGGTTGTTGTGTGTTTTCCGGGCTGTATGGCCATGTTTCAGAAGCATTATCTTCTGACGTTTCACCTGCATCTATGGCAGGCATCCTCAGAGGTAAGAACTCACAACTTCTGAGGATGCTTGCCATAGATGCAGGCAAAACGTCAGAAGAGAATGCTTCTGGAACATGGCCATACAGCCCAGAAAACACACAACAACTCAGAGATCACAGCCATGAAATCCTTCAACAACACATTAAACAAAAAAAATCATTACATTAGTCATGAAGAGTAACAGGGCAATGATAACTCAAAATACCTCTAGTTATGAAGATAAGGTTCTTGTTAGCAGAAATGCCAGGATAACTATTCTACTGGCTGAGATTTGCTAGCAGAAGGCCAAAATAGGTGGATGAAGCTAGAGAAGTTACTCCAGATCCAAATTTCCTCCAGTCCAGGAGCAGCCACAATGTTAACATCACATTAAACTTTGCTATTACTGTTCATGTGTAACAGCAAGTTATTTCTGACTCGTAGGGCCTCTAAGGTGACCCGATCACACACAATCTCTTTCATTTTCTTTCCTCTGAGTGATTTGTTAAAGGTCTCTCAGAGTTCAACTCCAACACTTAAGCCATTACACAACACTTGGGTAAGGAATAAAGAATGCTATGTAACTAATATATCTAGGCTGAGAATGCTTTGGATTCAACAAAGCTTCAGCTGGCTCTCCTGCCAACTCTGATGATCCTTGCCAATTCTAGATTGTGTTCTTAGTCAGAAATGTATGTCTAGACTTTAAAATATGAAGATCATTTGTTCCTTCAGCATTACCCTTTGGGTGAAGCAAAATTAGAGCTCTTCATATAGTGTTCTTGTTGCAAATGGACGTTCTTTCCTTTTACTGTCACGGTGACTAATGGATATCCTTTTTGTAGTGTCCAAGTGTTCATTATTGCTGTTACGTCATTGATAACACTTTTTGTCCAGTGCTACATATCATGGTCACAAATACAAAAGGAAATAAACAATGTTTAACAAGCAACATTAGAGGTTAAAACCACATATTTATTATACTTGTGTGACTTCCCACAATTAAGGACAGAATAGTTTCAATTGGGGTGTGATGTTTTTAATATAATGCAAGAGAAGATTTAAGAAACACCTTATATACACATTATCTTTTTCTTCTGTAATTTCTTCTGGAATTCTCTTTTTCTTTGTCTACCTAACCTCATACAGAGTTAAGCTATGGGAAATTGTATTATTTCTTATTTCCTCTGAATTACAGTTTTAAAAAACAGCCATATTTAGAGAAAAGCCAAAAACCTATTTTGCTTCTGCAGAAATGAACCACTGCAAACCAAAAAGTTAAAGTTAAAGGTTTCCCCTTGATATCACGTCTAGTTGTGTCTGACTCTGTGGGGTGGTGCTAATCTTCATTTCTAAATCAAAGAGGCGGCATTGTCCATAGACGCCTCCAAGGTCATGTGACTGGCATGACTGCATGGAGCACTATTACCTTTGTGCCGGAGCGGTATCTATTGATCTACTCACATTTGCATGTTTTTGAACTGCTAGGTTTGCAGAAGCTGGGGCTAACAGCAGGAGCTCATCCCGCCTCCTGCTGATAGCCTCCTGCTGTTGAACCGACCTTTTGGTCAGCACATTCAGCAGCTCAGCATTTCAACATACTGCACCACCATGGGCTCCTACTGCAAACTATAGCCTCATGAATATCCTCTCCTTTCTCCTCATTTCATCTGCAAAGTATGAAATTTTTTTTGTTAATTTGACTTCACCGCACTGACAGATTCCCTTGTTATTTTAGCATTCAAGAATATATTCCTAACTATCAAAATTCAAGTGCTGTTCACCTTTATTAGTGAAAGACATTTCTAACACTTTGGAGAAATGTTTACAGGATTCTAAAAGCAATCATGGAATAAAACACAAACTTACAGAGCTTGAGATTGTTTCCTTGTTTCTTGGGCAAACTCCGGCGGCAGCAGCATCCACAGAACAGCCCTAAAACATTCACAGGACATAAATAAACACAGTTGCCCAATACATCACAACTTGAGCAAGCACTGCTGTTCCAAACAGCAGTTCAAGTTGGTAACAGTTTTAAGGGGACTGCTGACTTGGCAGTTTGTAAGACAATAAGTAATACTTGCATCTGACAAACTGTTCCACAGATCCTTGTTTTGTGTATTTTGATAGCTGAACTGCAACAAGTATTTCACAAGTCCAGCCTTAAACACCTCTGGACTGAGGTAATCCTGTAACATGTTCAGAATGCAAGCTCCCTGGAAAAAAAGGGAATTAAACAATTCAATTTATAAAATTAATTTTATCACAAGTCTGAATTTAAAATATGTCATTGTTCTCTGCTCCAGCAAGAATGTTTCTAAGATTTGTTTCCTAATCTTCAGGTTTATTCAAAACTTCTTTGTTTCCACAAATTAAAATACAATTAAGTAGCATTCTTTGCATACAGAAAATGGCCCAAAATGGCAGGATCAAGCTGTAATTGCTGCCAAAGTTGTTTCCACCAAGTACTGACTCAGGGGAAACTGATTCAACTAACAAGTGCCAGGATACTTTTGTTTTCTTAACCTCTGTGCTTCATAGTGTGTAGAATCTTATGCACATGAGGCAGTAACAATGTCAATAAAGTCTGTTATAGGTTGTGGAAAAGTAAACTATGTATATGTGTGAAAACTTCTTCACTCTTTCTGTATTTTTGTACATTGAGATAAACACATAATATGCTGTCAATGATAGCAATAAGGTAAAAACTATGGATCACTCATCTCTAGCCCAATGGAGCTAGTAGAAGTCTGAATTCATATAAATCTCACTGGAACCAAGAAAAGCATCTCTCTAATAAGAGAGAAACAAAAAATTCTAACCTGCAAACTTCTGTTGAATTTAAATAAAAAAGCAATAACATTCTGGTGATCAAACTGAAACTTCAACTGCAAAAAACCCCAACCTAATACCTTGAAACAGCTGTAATGTTTTTATCCAAATATATTCTTACATTGGTTTATATACTCAGAATTACTGTATATACTCATGTACAAGTAAAAATGCCAAAAAGGGTCAACTTATATATGGACAATTTTAAGTACTGTGCCTTAACTCTTACTTAAAAAAGGAACCACTGAGTAGAATAGCAAAAGATGAGAGTTTAGTTCATCCAGGAAGAACCTGAAACAAGCACTGACCTCCCTCTACTCTCTCAGTCACGGCACCGCTTCTAGTCTTTTGAATAGCTGGGTGGGAAAATGATGATGGTCAAGAGGTATCCCTCAGTGTTAGGGTGTTTTCCCTTCTCTTTGGAATGATCCTCAAATAATGCACAAGTCATATCAAAATCCATAATTTTGGACCTAAAACTTGACTTTGACTTATACATGAAGTCTACTGATACACAAGAGTAAGTGTAATGTTTTTGTTGCTGAGACAGTGCCATTCAGACACAATAGAATGAAACCAGCAGGCAGAAGTATAAAATATTAAGGAATAATCCACACTCCTTTCAAAAAATCCAGTGAGGACTGCACACACTCAGAATAAAATGCAAGGAAAGTGGGTATAAAATGGAGTGTAAAATGGGGATAAAATGGGAAAGGGCACGGTTGGTAAATTGAACAGAAATATTACCACACTTCAGATAACAGAAGTTAAGCAAGTCTGCCCATGTGAAATAATTAAATTTTAAAGCCATTGTAATAAGCTTAAATGAAAGCAAAGTTTTTTTCACATAAGAGCAAAAAAAACCCAGATGAGACCCCATCAAAAGATTTTTCTTTTACCTTATCATAGGAAACATCATCAAACATTTCTAGAATCTGAGATGGCTCTTCAACAGGAGTAGATATAGGATGTGAAGAGTTTAGAGCATCTACTTCCATGGCTTCAAAATATTTGTTTAAAAAATAATCTTCCTGTTAAAAGAAATAAGAAGTTGAAATATTCCTTTAAAAGCATAATAATAATAATAATAATAATAATAATAATAATAATAATAATCTTTATTTATACCCCGCCACCATCTCCCTGATGAGAACTCGGGGCGGCTTACATGAGGCCAAAACATTCCCATCTTCTCAATTCAAAAACAGAAAATAAAGGTTAGACAGGAGAAGGAATTAATTTTTAAAACTCTTTATAATTACTTTATATTTTCCAGAGAAATTTGGAGCAGTATCCTGGTATTGCTCAGTCACAGATGGCTTCACAAAGTGATTATTAATTCTGTTTGCATGCTCACATTCTTTTAGAAAGTGGGCATATAAATGTAATTTTTTTCTTGCAGGTCCAACTTGTTGTTAATAACTACAACAACTTCTAAGATCTAATACTAACCAGCACATTTTAAGAATTAGTTTATATTTATATTTTTTCTTTTTTAAAAAAGAAAATTAATACTCACAACTTTCAGTTCTGGGTGGGTCACCCTGACTGATAAAAATTCCATAAACTTTGCAAAACCTTCATTGAGCCAAAGATCATTCCACCATTCCATGGTGACCAGGTTTCCAAACCACTGCAAGAATAACATATCTTAGAAGCAGATCAGTTACATTTTCACAAGTTTTTATTTTATGGCTGTACTTTGGGTGAAGGAAATCCTGAATATTCTCTGACTTATTCACTTTCTAACAATCAACATACTTTCTGCAATGCTCTATGAGCAAGTGGTATAGATAACCATGGGAATTTGATTTTTTTTTACCCTAACATTACATATATGAGGAACAGCCAGGAAGAGTCATACTAGTATTTTACTTGTGCACCAATAAAATATTATCTTTCTGGCTAATGATCAAAACACTAATGTATGCATAAAAATGTGACTGTGTTTATCATTAGGTAGTGCAAACACTGGAGATCTCTATAAGCAAACAGGGTATTATGTGGACTGTAGAAAAGCGTTTAATCAGACAGGCTAAATTGTGAAAAAACTCCCTCATTACTGATTTTAAAAAAGGCTATGAGTAACAAAAACAAACATTTTTCATTTCCCTACATCACTGGAGAAATTACACTGTTTAGATGGTATTGCACCACCTGACATCTGCCAGGAAGTAGCAGCCAGCAATGAAAGGACCAAGGCAGTGACATCTTCGGTCCATCCCCTGTTCAGATATCAGCCAACATGCCAACATCTTAAATCAAGAAACAGCTTCCTAAGATCTACAAAGAGCTACAAAGATACTTGCAGTAAGAGTCCAAAAGTGTCAGGATAAAACCCAGCACCTCAATCAGTGGCCGAGACCAGATGAGAAACTCCCCCCTGTGTTTTTAAATGCGTATTAACTGTTCCCTCAATCTTGCTTCTGACACGATAAATAAATTTCAGTAGAAGAGGTACTGACATTGAAAACAAGGAAGTGGCTCCTTCTAAAACAATGTGTAGCTCTAGGCCTCTCCTGGGTTCTTTTAGTGCCAAACGTTAACACACGTACTGCTACAGTATATGTTTTATTGGTTGTAAATGATTCAGAGAGAAGCATACCAGGCTTTTCACTGATCCACTGATAGGACCCACAGCCAATGGTAGAAATGGGCCCTCAAAACAAATTATAAACTTGGCCAACAATCAAATTTCTCACAACTGGATATATGAAGAGCCCTTGAACTAGAGTACATCCCTCAAACGAAATTATCAGCAGAGAAAGATTCATTCCCCAAGTTGATTTAGAGTCTTCATATCTTTTCCCAGCCTCAAACTACAAAGTGAATCCAAAACATACTCAACAAAGTCACAAATACAAGTTAACTCTTTCACATCATTGGACAAATGTTAACCTTTGGCTATGATACTAACAAGAACTCAAAAACACAGCTGATGGGTGGCAAGTGGCTTTATTTTCAAAATTTGTAAACATTAGAGTGCAAATAGTAACCTGTCCATTACCAAATTAAAAACTCCACCATCCTCAGTTCTTGAAAATAATGTCTGTGATTTGAGAGAAAATATAAATAATTATGAGGGGTTTGTGAAAAATTCTGAATTGGAAATGTGTCCACCATCTTAAACAAAACATGTCCAAGGGTATTTGATGGATCTGTCACTCCAAGAAGGAATCCACTCTTGATTTTACTGCTGCTCCTCTCGAATCTGCTTTGAGTTGAACAGAAAGTCTCCTGAATCTAGAACCTCGAGAATTTGGCACTGGGAGGACCCCCATCCAAATCAGAGTATTTGAAGATGGACTGACCATAAAGTCAAAAGTGGATTTGCCATCCTCATGGCAGCAGATGCTTTGGTCACCCCAGCAAGATCTGGTTTAACATTTTTATGCCTTATATTTACTAAATAAAACATTTAAATGTCCAAACAGCCTATATCTGAATTACCAAACTAAGAACCCATTATGTCAATGTTTCTCCTATGATAATGATGAAGTAATAGAGTCTCACCACAGATACAGTTTTTCATCACTCATTTGCATTAGAAAATACAATTCAGCAGATATTTGTATTGTTTTTTACTTAGTTAACTTATTTCATACTTACTAACTTATTTCATACTATATATGAAATGCTATCTTAAAGTGTTCAATAAAAATAAGTAAAACATTTTAAAGAGCTAAAACATACATTAACATTCAAAACATTAATCATAACTCAAAACATTGACAATCAAAACTGAAGGCAGAATCAAGAAAAATCTAAATTAAGAGGCAGGTTTTAACAGATACTGATCGTGTGATCTTATATTATTCTGTTTTTTAAGGAATTTGGCAGCCAAAGGATAAAAATACATCATGTTTCTTCCTGCTGCAAACAGAGAAATGTCAATCATAACTTACCTGGTGAGCAAGCTCATGGGCTACAGTCAAGGTAATTCCAAGTTTACTTGATGCTATGGATTTTTCAGGATCATATAACAAAGCAGTTTCCCTGTATGTAGTCAATCCCCAATTCTCCATTGCACCAGACTGAAAATCAGGAATAGCTGCTAAGTCTGTAATAAATAATTTTAAATATAATTCTCCCTTTAAAACTAAACAATATACTGTAATACTGACACTTTTAACGGTCAAATTTGGGCTGTGGCTGGGATGTTGCATTATTCATTTTCATGCCAATTAGTAATATGTTTTATTGATTTTAATATGGATTCGTTTTTTTTATTTTTGTAATGTGCTGTTTTTATGAGAACTGATATTGTCATTGTCTAATATGTTGATGTGATTTAACCTGTATTTTATGAGGTTATGGCACTTGTATGTGCTTCTATAAGCTGCCCTGACTCTTTTCTGGGAGATGATGGCGGAGTATAAATAAAGTATTAATATTATTAATAATATTATTATGTTAGTAAACATTTAAGTTTCATTTATATAAAACATTGCATGATGATGATGATGATGATGATGAATGAGTCCAAATTGGGGGAAAAACCTGAAAATGAGCATGGACTCCTGCCAGTCAGGGATAATATGCAAGAAGAATCCAATCATGATGTATTGTTCCTCAGTCCATCCCAATAACACTTAATTTATCTTCTTGCATCATTGTTTCTAATTTAAAAAATATTAAAATGGAAGTTGATCTTCTTGACAGAAAATGAAACAGTCGTTGAATATTTTGAAATAATGTTACAAAGCACAATAAATAGTTTCAAATAAATGAGAAAAGGAGATTGGACATTAAGAAAAAGCTAATTTATACTATACACTATACTAGTTATTTACAATATACACATTTTTATTTACTTTTGAAAGTAAATGCCATGGAATGTTACAGTCAAAATATTGATCCAGCTTGCCAAACTATTATTTGATTAATGTACTTGTTTTTCTTAGGATATTTCAGAATAAAAAGTACCTTGTTTAGGTAAAGGATATGGAATGCTAAAATATTCCTCAAAGAACTCTAAGAGCTTCACTGCTGCATCCAAGGCATAATCCGCTTGGCCGATCTTGTGTGGTACAGCATATACCGAAACCTAAAAACAAACAAACACCAGTACATTGTGAATGCAACTGTAGAAAGATGGCGATCACAGCTCCACAGGCTACTTGATGCAGTGATCACCACTTTGAATAGCACTGAGGTACATACAATTTGTCAGCTTTTCTCTAAATGAAAACAAATCCAAGCAGCTATGGTGGGCCCATCATATTTGTGGGCTCACAATCCACAGAATCAATCAATTGCAGATTCAAATGAATAGAATATTGTACATTTGATTCTATGGGAGGGAGCATGCCAGATGTTTGTTTGTGGGTGAAAGATGGGATGACTTCTTCGCATGGAGAAAGTGGGCAGATGGAGGAGCTTACCATCACCTCTGCAGCTGCCCTATGCCATTGCCAACATTGACTTACTGTATAAACCTTGCTTCAGCCTCTCTGCAAGCCTTGATCTATACAGTAAGTTAAGCTCCTATTAAAATAGTGTAGGGCAGCAGATGTTGTAGTGAGTCTGGTCTCCTGAGGCATCACGTTCTTCAGTATATACCCATGTATAGTTGACCTCGTGTGTAAGTCAAGGGCAATTTTGGGGGCCAAAATTATGGATTTTGATATGACCCACAGGTAAATTGAAGATAATTCCGCAAAAAGGAAAACACCAATACTTCCTCTGGGAGCTAGCTACCCCTGGCCACCATTGCTATTTCCTCACCCAAGCATTCAAAACATCCAGAAGTCGCACCACAGTGGAGAGAGTAGAGGGGGCTTGGTGCTTCTTTTAGGTTTTTTCTGGGATAGACTAAGCTCTTGCCTTTTATTACTCTATTCAGAGAAGGGGATTGTTTCCTTTTAAAAAAATAAGTTAATGTACAGTACTCACACTGAACTGTGGATAAGTTGACTCAGGTTTTTTGGTTTAATTTTTTTCACTAAAATGTCTATAGGTATACATGAATATATAGGACATGTCATAATTAACCTTGAGATATACTCTCAGGGAAAATGAAGCACTACTTGCTAGCATATTATTGTACACAATTTCGCAAACAAAACACATATCTTAATATCTCTAGAACTACCACTGCAACTTTAACATTTTGCTTAGGGAACCATTTTAAAATTATATTTTTTTAAAAAAAACTTAAGAGTATATGTAAAAGAAAGGAACTGTGACCATTTTCAGTATCAAGATACATGAATGCTGATATGAAAACTTTACCTTAACTCCCCGGGTAGTACTTTTGGAAACTGATTTAAAATCTGAAACAATAAAGGCCACAAGATAAGTGCTCATCTTTACGCTGGTCTGAAAGTGGTCTTCAAGGAGCCATTCCTTAAGGTTGATAGATTTCACCTAAAATGGTAAAAAAAAAAAAGCTATTACAGTTCATCTTTATCTTAAAAGTATGTTTATAATGTTTTACACAGGGAAATGTACTTTATCATCTTGACAGGAATTAATTGCTACATCCTCCTTTTAATAGTTGCAAACCCATAGCCAGAGACAATTGGTACTACAACCCTTTACATGTTTATGCCTTTAATGGGAATTATCCCCAGGTCTAAAAGTAGCATATCAGAAGGCAACTGCTCTCTACTGTTAATACTAACTAAAGGTAAAGGTTTCCCCTTGACATTAAGTTTAGTCGTGTCCGACTCTGGGGGGTGGTGCTCATCTCCATTTCTAAGCCAAAGAGCCAGCCACTGTCCACAGACACCTCCAAGGTCGTGTGGCCAACATGACTGCATGGAGCACTGTTACCTTCTCACTGAAGCGGTACCTAATGATCTCACATTTGCATGTTTTTGAACTGTAGGTTGGCAGAAGCTGGGGCTAACAGCGAGAGCTCACCCCATTCCACTGACTTTTCGGCCAGCAAGTCCAGTGGCTCAGTGGTTTAACCCGCTGCACCACCGTGGGCTCCACTGTTAATACTACTAACTCAGAATTCATAATCTTTCTTGCATTTTTCAAGACATCAGTGAATTAGATTTAATAATTTGCTATGTGAGCACAAAGATGCATATAACAAATGCATATACTCTGAGATGAGGTTTTTTAACAGTGTGTATATTTTCCTCTTTTTTGCATCCCACAACCAGACAATTCAAAATACCAAGAATAGATACATACTAAAGGCATATTAGAGAGTGCAAAATATCTGGGTTCTCTTCGGATCTTAACAGAAAATTTTGCTTTGAATGCAGGTTCATCAAAGCAAGGGAAAGCCATACGAGCAGCTGTTGGTTCAAACTGGGTTGATGCAAGCACCCTGGAATGAAGGAAAACAATATATTTACACTTGTCATTCACACCTGCCATGCTTATACTGGTCAAACTCTTATATTAGTCATATACAGAGAAGCCTGCTAAGAGTGTTCCTTAATGGAGACTCAACTTGACGAAAGGCAATTGAAATCAGTTTATGTGCTAAAAATATTAATCGTGCAATTTTTTCCATATTTCCTTAGAAATAAACCCCATGCTGGGCTTAATGCAGCTTTTGTTGCAATAAAAGTGCACGGTACCACAGCATTAGTTTCAGGTGTTACTTCAAGTTGCCTTTTCCAGAATTTACATCTTGAAGCAGATCTAACACTGGATTAATTTTATATTCCTTCATCTCTAGCTCCTTTGCTTGAGAGTACATATAAAGATATTACCTATAGCATTCTTCATGGGAAAATGCATAGAAAAAAACAGACTATTTTATAGGAATCCATACTTCTTTGCTCTTTAATTTCTAATATAGAAGATAGAAGGATCAAAGCTTTGTTCAGGGCAATAAATAAAGCTTTGATATCAAGAGAGTAAATAAAGAACAACGCCAAAAAAGGGGGGAATTCCAGACAGGAAATAACCAGGGCCAGATAACACCTGCTAACAAAGGATTCCCCCCAGGCAGGAAGCGGTCAGGCTTTGAAGCTGCAAGGCCATTCAAGGCCATTCAATGCTAATTTAACTGTGACTAATTGCAACATTCACACTTGCCTCCAACAGACAAAAGTTCTTTCTCCCACCCTGGACATTTCACAGATATATAAACCTCACTTTCCTAGTTTCCAACAGACCTCACAACCTCTGAGGATGCCTGCCATAGAATCTCAATATACAACCTCTTTTTTTAATCAGAAAAGGCAAATGGGAAAGCTTCATATCAGAGTGTGCCTACAAAGCAGAATTATTTCAGTTTGACATCACTTTCATCATTGTAGCTCAAAGCTAGGGAATCCTGGGATTTCTAATTTAGTGAGGGACTAAACCCTTTGGCAAAGAAGGCCAAAAAATACTGTCAAATTACATTTCCCATGATTCCATAGCACTGAGCCATGACAGTTAAAATGCTGTCAAACTGTATTAATTCTACAATGTAGATGAATCCTCGGTATTTTCCTATTATAAAAAAAAACATTTAAAACCTCAAAAAAAAAAACCAGATTTTTGAAGCAGACATCAAATAAGATATGAAAGATCCATATAAATCCAAATGTAAAAAACATCCAAATACAACAGCAAGGGGTGAAAATGTTTCAAACATTACTCTGCAAGAGAATTAACCTACCTTACTTCCCCTTCAGGAGTTCTGTATGTGCTTTTATAGAAACCATGAAAACTGTCAGACAAATTTGCAGAATATTCAATACTAACAATGTAGTTGCCAAGGCGCAATGGTTCAGTTACAACCAATGCGATCTGCTCAAATGGTGGATATTCTAAAACTGACACTGTTTTATCAATATGGATATTTTCTTTGGCTTCTTGAATGACAGCTTTGGTGATCTGGAGGTATTTGCTGTGCAAGATGATTGAATTGGTTTCCTGGGTAATATTAATCTCTATTTTGGCCAATCCAGTAAAGGTCAGAGTGGTGAGATTTGGATGAATAAGAAGATCATAATGAACTGGAAGGACATGCTTGGGAAGTCTCATTATGTTCCAAGGAAATGGACTGCTTCCATCTCCAGTAACTGAATATCGACTGTGCTGATCAGAGCCAAATACAGATACAATGTTGAAAATTGCTAGCAAGAATATCATTGTTGTCTTCAAGGCAGATTTCTGATCTTGAAACCAGTGTGAGTGCCAGGTTCGTATGGTACAGGAAATCTAATAAAGAAAAACATAAAGATTAAATAAATATACTGACTCTGAGATACGCTTTGACACCTGAGCACATTTTTGAACTCATTTCTCTCCACATCCACAATTTTCTTGTACCACCTAGCCTCAAGGAGAATTTCGGAAAAGTCAAGAGGTTTTTGAGGAATTTCTCTCTTGTAGAAATGTATTTATTCCTAATAAAGTCACTGCCCTTTTGAATTTCTGGATTTTAAAAAGGTTTCAAATAGAAAGTAAGCAACAGGTGGCTGATGATGATGATGATGATGATACTTCAGAATTCAGATAGACAGAGTTTTGGAGCACAATACTCCTGACCTCACAATCCTGTTAAAAAACAAAGTATGAATAGTTGATGTTGCAATCCCAGGCGACAGCAGGATTGAAGAGAAACAACTGGAAAAGCTGACACGATATGAGGATTTAAAGATCGAACTGCAAAGACTCTGGCATAAGTCAGTAAAGGTAGTCCCAGTGGTGATCAGCACACTGGGTGCAGTGCCTAAAGATCATGGAATGCACTTAAACACAATTGGAGTTGACAAAATTACCATCTGCCAGCTGCAAAAGGCCACCTTACTGGGATCTGCACGCATTATTCGCTGATACATCACACAGTCCTAGACACTTGGGAAGTGTCCGACCTGTGATCCAATACAACAGCCAGCAGAGCGATCTTGTTTGTTGTGGACTCATCCTGTTGTGTTTCAAATACTAATACTAATACTACTAATACTACTACTACTAATAATAATAATAATAATAATAATAATAATAATAATAAAGCAGCTTAACATAGTGCTTAAGATGGTGCAATTTCCCTCCCAGAGCACCATATTTGTGAACATCAGTTTCAATTCCTGGAACCTCATATACCCGGCATTGCATATGTTGGAAGGGCTGCTGCCCACCTGCTTTCTCCCTTCTTCAGCTCTGAGGAGGCTTATATCACAGTCTCTGCCAACACTCTTTAGGAGGGCTCTCTTTGTGCTCTTTTTTTTTGTTTTTGCTTTCCTCTGTTTCCCTTATACACCTTCTACCTCTCTTCTTCCTTACTCTTTCCTTCCATTCTTCTTTTTCTTGCTTTCCCACATACACCTTCCCACTCTTCTGTGCTTATTTTCTCTTCCTATTTCACCTCCCCCCCCCCTTCCTTCATCCCTTCCTTTCTCTCCCAGTGTCATCACAGAAGGCCACTTCACCTAGCAAGTCAAGTCAGTGACATATAGGGGGCCACTTCACCTAGAAACAGCTTTTTTTAGCACAACCAGATGGATAAACATTAATACTTTTATATATAGAGTGGTGTAGATAAAGGAATTTGAGCAGGTATTGCATGTTACCTGTTTCTATGGCAGTAGTGAACAAAGTTTATTATTTTATGTATTTATTTTTTGTATAAATGACAAGTGCTCTTTGGACTGAAATGAGAACAAGTCTTTCAAAAACACACTGGTTACATTGTATTTGATTGGTTAGATTAGTTGTGCTAAGATTTTTAGAGAGAAAGTTAAATATAAATATTTAATACATTTTTAAAGTGCCCAAAATGTTATGAAATCATGTGATTCCTAGTTTGGTGAGACACCAGCACTTCTTGGCGGAGGAGGCTAAGGACCTTGTAAAACTATAACTCCCCTGATTCCATAGCATGCAACCATGGCAATTAAAGTGGTATCAAACTTTGTTAATTCTACAATGTAGATGCTGCCTGAAGTGACACGGTGAGTCTTGTGAAAGACACTGAAGCCCTCAAGCCCTTTTAACAGTGACTTGTTACTTAGATGTCAGAGTTTCATAATGTTCAAAAAATAGAGTGGGAAATTATATCCACTTCCTCAACATTAAAAGTAAAGGTTTTCCCCTGACATTAAGCCCAGTTGTGTGTGACTCTGGGGGTTGGTGCTCATCTCCATTTTTAAGCTGAAGAGCCAGCATTGTCTGTAGACACTTCCAAGGTTGTGTGGCCAGCATGACTTCATGGAGCGCTGTTACCTTTCCGCAGAAGCGGTGCCTATTGATCTTATTTTTTAAATTTTAAACTATTATATTTGGCCCGGCCATTGGTTTTTAAATGCCGGGCCAAATGCTGTTTATTGTTTGCTTATGTGATTTATATTATTTCTATTGTGTTGATTGTTTTTGTTATAGTTTTTGTTTATTGATGTACTGTGGGCTTGGCCTCATGTAAGCCGCACCAAGTCCCATGGGGAGATGGTAGCAGGGTATAAATAAAGTTTTATTATTATTATTATTACTCACATTTGCATGTTTTTGAACTGCTAGGTTGGTAGAAACTGGGGCTAACAGCAGGAACTCACACCACTCCCCGGATTTGAACCTGCAACCTTTCAGTCAACAAGTTCAGCAGCTCAGCAGTTGAACCCTCAATGTTATACATGCTCTTATTTTTCTACAAAGTGCAAGAAAATTCCATCCTTTGAATAGCCATGGCTCAATGCTCGAGAGTTGTAGTTTGTCGGGGTACCAGCCCTCTTGGCTAGAGAAGGTTGAAGACCTGAAGAAACTGAGCCAATGAAAACGCTATGGAAATTGTGTCAACCACGGTGGTCGATGCTTTGGTTACATCCCGTTTAGATTACTGCAACGCTCTCTACGTGGGGTTGCCTATGAAGACTGCCCGGAAGCTCCAACTCGTCCAACGTGCGGCAGCCAGAATGCCAACACAAGCAGAGTACAGGGAGCATACTACTCCTTTGTTGCGCCAGCTCCACTGGCTGCCAATTAGCTTCCGAGCATAATTCAAAGTGCTGGTGTTAACCTATAAAGCCCTAAACGACTCCGGCCCAGTTTACCTGTCCGAAAGTATTCTCCCCTATGAACCATCTAGGTTGTTAAGATCGTTTGAAGGGGCCCTGCTCTCGGTCCCACCGGCCTCTCAAGTGCGTTTGGTGGGGACGAGGGACAGGGCCTTCTTGGTGGTGGCCCCTCGACTCTGGAACTCTCTCCCACTGGAGATCAGAACTGCCCCCTCCATTCTGTCGTTCAGAAAACGGGTGAAAACCTGGCTATGGGGTTTGGCTTTCGACGAGTGAATCAATATTTCTGTGATCGGATGGATGACAGTGAATGACGGACAACGAATTCACTATGACGACTGGCCATTGTTATTATGTGATTGCATTTTGCTGTTATAACGTTTTAATTGAATATATTATATGATGTTTTTAATGATTGTTTTGTGAAATTATTGTTGGAAACCGGCCCGAGTCCCCCGATAGAGGGGAGAAGACCGGTATACAAAATTGCTAAATAAATAAATAAATAAACCTTATATTATGATGACTGAGGACACCAGACATACTCAAAGTGAGGCCCTCCAGCCGCCTGGGACTCCAACTCCCAGAATTCCTGGCCACTGAAGAAGCCTGCGAGGGCTTCTGGGAGTTGGAGGCAGAAAGCGCTGGAAGGCCGCAGTTTGAGGAGGCCTGAGTTACTCTCGCAGAGGGCGCATGCGCAGTGTGGAAATCCAATCTGTCGCGGGGAGGAAGGAAGTAGGCCGCAGTTGCGAGCCTGGCTTTCCTAGGCTGCTTTTCTCCCTCTCAGGATGTATATCTCCCCTTTGCTGCTCCTCAGTCTCGGAAGGCCGCTTCATGCCGCCAGAGAAGGCTCCTTTTTACCTGTTCGGGATCGTGGAGAGGCCCGCTTTGGCTGCCGCTTCTCCCTCCAGGCCCCGGGAGTGAAAGCGAAAGCGAGGGGAGTCTCTGAGGGCAACCTTCGAAGCTTCTTTCCTTTCTAGACGCAGCTTCCCATCCCCCCTCCCCTTTCCAGCCCATTTACAAGGACTACTGTACGAATGAAGCGAGAGGTCGGAAAAGGCCACGAGGAAATGTTACGGTACTTACGTCTACGCTAGAAGGACTCCTGGTTTATATGTACAAGGGCCGCTCAGCTGTGAGGAATATACGCTCCAGTTCACATGTTCTGGTTTCCTCGTACAAATTCCAGCAACTTCAGGGATGCCAAATGGAAAGTGGGAGAGGCCCCAAACTTGGGCCCTTCCTCCAGGTGTTTTGGACTTCAACGCCCATCATTCCTAACAGCCTCAGGCCCCTTGGGACCTCCCTCCAGGTGTTTTGGATTCCAGCTCCCACAATTTCTAGCAGCCTCAGGCCTCTCTCACTTTCCATTTGGTATCCCTGAAGTTGCTTAAGTTCTTCCTCATGTTCAGGTGGAATCTCCTTTCTTGTAGTTTGAAGCCATTGTTCCGCATCATACTCTCCAGAAAAGCAGAAAACAAGCTTGCTCCCTCCTCCCTGTGACTTCCTCTCACATATTTATACCTACCTTATTATGTCTCCTTTCAGCCTTCTCTTATTCAGGCTAAACGTGCCCAGCTCTTTAAGCTGCTCCTCATAGGGCTTGTTCTCCAGACCCTTGATCATTTTAGGCACCCTCCTCTGGACACATTCCAGCTTCTCAATATCTCCCTTCAATTGTGGTGCCCAGAATTGGACACAATATTCCAGGTGTGGTCTAACCAAGGCAGAATAGAGGGGTAGCATGACTTCCCTGGATCTAGACACTATGCTCCTATTGATGCAGGCCAAAATCCCATTGGCTTTTTTTGCTGCCACATCACATTGTTGGCTCATGTTTAACTTGTTGTCCACGAGGACTCCAAGATCTTTTTCACACGAACTGCTCTTGAGCCACACGTCCCCCAGTCGGTATCTTTGCATTTCATTTTTTCTGCCTAAGTGGAGTATCTTGCATTTGTCACTGTTGAACTTCATTTTGTTAGTTTTGGCCCATCTCTCTGTTAAGATCGTTTTGAATTCTGCTCCTGTCTTCTGGAGTATTGGTTATCCCTTCCAATTTGGTGTTGTCTGCAAAGCTGATGATCATGCTTTCTAACCCTTCATCTAAATAATTAATAAAGATGTTGAACAGGACCGGTCCCAGGACGGAAACCTGCAGCATGTATTTATTTATTTATTTATTACTACCTTTCTACCCTGCCTTTCCCAAACCCAAAGGTGACTCAAGGTGGCTTAAAACCAAGCAGCCATTTGATGCCTTAACAATATACACTTAAATGGGCACAATTCAAAGTTCTGGCTTTGGCCTATAAAGCCCTAAACGGCCCCGGCCCAGTTTACCTGTCAGAACGCATCTCACTTTACGAACCACACAAAGACTAAGATCTTCTGGGGAAGCCCTGCTGTGGTTTTTAAGTGGCTATAAGTGATTTTAATGTTTGTATATATTTATGGTTTTATGTCCCAGCATTGACTGTTTACTGTATATATGTTGTGCTCTGCCCTGAGTCCCCTTGAGGGTGAGAAGGGCGGAATCTAAATGTTTTAAATAAATAAATAAATAAAAACATTTAAAACAAAATTAAAAACCATACAAAGAGCTTTAGTGTCATATAAAAACCAATGCCTTCACTGTTAATCTTGTTGTCCAAACACATTGTCTGAGCCATTCCAAAATTAATTATCACATAGTTCCGTGTTTGTCTATTGCACTGTGTTACCAAAGGCTTGTTTGAAAAGCCATATCTTCACTTTTCTACGAAAGGTGAGGGTGGGGGGGGGGGGRGGTACTGAGTTTAATGGGAATTATCCCCAGGCCTAAAAGTAGCATATCAGAAGGTAGCTGCTTTCTACTATTAATACTAAGTAAAGGTAAAGGTTTCCCCTTGACATTAACTCTAGTCGTGTCCTACTCGGGGTGGTGCTCATCTCCATTTCTAAGCTGAAGAGCCAGCGTTGTCCATAGACGCCTCTAAGGTCATGTGGCCAGCATGATTGCATGGAGCACCATTACCTTCCTGCCAAAGCGATACCCATTGATCTACTCACGTTTGCCTGTTTTCGAACTGCTTGGTTGGCAGAAGCTTGGAGTAACAAGGGGAGCTCACCCCGTCCCATGGATTTGAACCGCCGACCTTCCTGTCAGCAAGTTCTGCAGCTTAGCAGTTTAACCCACTGTGCCACCTTGGCCCCATTTATTTATTATTTATTTATATCCCACTCCTTCTTCCCAAGGGACAGCTTATAGCAAAGCAAATGAATACAGAAAATGATATAACACAGACAATAATCAGATATCACTTAATAAAAACAAAATAGCACAATAGTGTAAATATAAATAAATAAACAGCTTAAAAGACTTTTTAGCCCCCTCAAAACAGTATACTGTATATATAAACTCCATTTAAAACCACCTAATTCCTATGATCAGGGTATCCAGCATTAGAAAATTGTAGTTCTAATGACCATTTAAAGTCCTGTCCAATAAGATGGTTGATACTCTTGTCCATTAAATAGCAAGGTTTCCATCTCCTTCCTGAAAGTTATGAGTGTGGGTGCTGGTCACTGCCTCTTTTTTCTCTCTGGGCACATGTACACTAGAATTAATGCAGTTTGACACCATTTTGACTGCCATAGCTCAATCATGATAGTTGTAGATTTACATTGTCTTCAGGCTTCTCTGCCAAAGAGGATTGGTGCCTCACCAGTCTACAACTCCCACAGTTCCCTAGCGTTGAGCCATGGCACTTAGAGTGGCATTAATACTATAGTTTAGATGCACCTTCTGAGGCCACATAGCTGGGATGGAGGGAAGGGCCTGTCATCTGTTTTAATGGCGGGGAAGTGGTAATTTCAGCAGGTGTTGCCTGTTTACAGCCAGTTAATAGGCAACTTCTGAATTTCCCTCTTCTACATGCTCATACAGGAGCCCTTTTCAGTTCCCCGTTGGCAGATCTTGTGAAAGTTACAGATTCAGATTGCAAGGTGTGCTGGCTAGGATTTCTGGGAACTGTAGTTTTAAAAGTCAAAAGCTTTTATAGGCAAGATGCTCATCCAGTGGCTTTCAGCTTGCTGCCACAAGAGGTAGCTGTTTTTCTATTCTTGCAGCCACGTTCAGAAGACCAAAAATTATAAAGAAAATACATGGTACAGGAAAGCAATTTTTGTTTTTTTTCATGTCTTTAATGCTTAAATTTAACTGAAATAATGTGAATAATTATTTTCCAAAAATTAAACATCTCCCAGGGCACCAATTTTAAAAGAAAACTAAATTGTAAGGTTTTTTTTAATAAAAGTGTTATGCTTGTTCATTTCTTCAACATCTGGTGTGGTAATTTGACAAGAATTTTGGAAGAGCAGTTCCAATTCCTGCTCAGCCATGGAGACCCAGTAGGTGACTTTGAACACGTCACACTCTCTTTGCTTCTGAGGAAAGTAAAGGCAACGCTCTGAATAAATCTTGCCAAGAAAAACGTAGATTGAACTGGCATAACAACCAGATGCACCCCAATACTTGAAATAAGATGAACTTTGACAGTAAATAAAGTGAAGAAGCAGCCCAAGACACTAATGCATATATTTGAGAAGGAAGCCATGTAATATTTTGGTACTTGCCGACAAATAAAGATTCACCATTAATCTGGAAAATACCAAGACAGTCAGATTTAAGCTTAATTAATCTTATTCTGGTCAATAGTCAATATCAAAACCTTTCTGAAGTTTCTTTTTTTTAAAAAGTACATAGTTTTCTTTTTTCAAAGGTTGTTGTTCAATAAAAGATCTATTTAATTGCACAATTGACAAGTATCTATGGTGCTATAGTTGTTTTTATAGTTTATCTGAGTATCTCGGATAATCCTGTACTGGCTGAAGTTAATTGGTGATATAGGCCATATAAAGACAATGCGTACTCTGTCTATTCAGAAGGAAGTTGAATTCAGTGGAGTTTAAATGTATAGGATTTCAATTGAATTTCAGTTGAATTAATTTAGTGTCACATGATGAATGTACATACCCACAGTTGAATGTATATCTGCATAAAGCACTTCACGCTACAATAACTAGTTTATAGAAAACAAAATGGTAGTATAAAACAGGTTATACAGGTTTGTGGAGTTTCCTTCCTTTTTTAAAAAACGTTAACCATTATGACTGCTCTTCTAGAATTTTATTGTTTTTACAGGGACACTAGCCCAGGGTTTGTGTGTTTCATAGGATTGGAAGCAACATGCCCTACAAAAATTGTAAATTTTCATTTTAGTGAAAATGTAATGGTTCGGGTCCTGTCTATCTTTGCGATTGCACCCCCTTCCCCATGAACCACTGCAGGTGCTAAGATCTGCCAGGGAGACCTTCCTTTTTGTCCCACCACCGTCACAAGCGCAGTTGGTGGGGACGAGGGAGAGGGCCTTCTCAGTGGTGCCCCTCCGGCTTTGGAACACCATCCCCAGGGAGATCAGGCAGGCCCCCACACTGTCCTCCTTCTGTTTTATTTTGTCTTCTGTTTTTGGGCATCTTGTGCTGTGTGTAATCTGCCGAGTCCCTTCGGGGAGGTGGTGGTGGGATACAAGAATAAAATTGTTGTTGTTGTTGTTGTTGTTGTTCTTATTATAGCAATCATTTTTGCATTAATGTATCTGAAGTAGCATAAAGAATTACTTCAAGTTCTCTGGATCAAGAGCAGCACATATGAAAGAAAAAGAATGGGAATGATAAATGTGCATCTAAGCTATGACTGTTGAGTACAGTTAGAGAAAAGCACCAATCAATTAAAAAAAACATTCCTTTTGGTCACATTTTTGCACACAGTATTGTGTACAACAGTATCTGCATCAAGATAAATTTCCCCTGATATTAGAGAAGGATAAAAAAGATTACGGCTTTCCTCCCATATCAAGAGAAACCTCATACTATCCTTTGTGTGTAGAGTACATACCTCTGGGCGGCCAGGATCAGAGATTTAAAAGACATTTAGGAATATTCTTTTCTTCTTTGTGTGGCTGTTTTTCATTTAAAATGTGTACAGTGAA